CGGGCCGCCGCCGCGGGGGAGGGAAGCGGAGCGGAGGGGAGGATGCGGGAGACGACGGCGGAGGGCGCGGGAGTCCCCTCAGGGAAGCCGAGGGCCGCCAGGCTACAACGCGCATGCGCCGCGGGCAGTGCGCATGCGCGGGGGGAGGGGAGACGCAGAGCGAGCGCGGTGCGCCTGCGCGGCGGCGGGGAACGGGACACTACGCATGCCTGCAAGGGCAGCAAAGGGGGAGGGGGAGGAGACGATGCGCGAGTGCGGCTGCGCGGGCGGCGGGGTGGCGCCTGCGCCCTATGGGGGTTGGTGTGTTTACTAGCGCGCCGCGCACGCGCCGATTGGGGGAGGGGCGGAGGACGGGCGGCGTATCACTGCGCGTGCGCAAAAGGAGGGGGCATTAAGGAGCAGCTTGTCTTAAAGAGACAGCAGGCCTGACACACTTCTGGGACGATGCTTCTACTCTGCCTACCGCCGTGGAGGCGCGGCTTGCACAGCTCTTCTCTTGTAAGCTAAGCAGGGCTAGCGGGGGCCCGGTTTTGGAGGGGAGACCACTAAATACTGAGTAATTCAGGCCTGTGTATTTTTCGGACCTGGACGTTCCCAGCGTCTTTCCTAACCTGGCCAGGCCTGGCCCCATCAATGTCTCCTGCCGTGGATAGCACTCATTGCCCCTGCTGCCCTTCTCCAGCTCTTCTAGATCCTCTTGGAGCTGCGGGGACCAGACCAGGGCACTGGATTCAAGCTGTGGGCATGTACAAGGGTCCTTTTACCCCACTCCCCCAGGTCATGCAGCACTGAAGATGCAGCCCAGGCATCCTGGTGGGCATGGGGACCCCAGACCTGGGGGCAAAGCTCGCTGACGTCCATCTTGGTGGCCTAGGTCCACGGGTCCGTCTTTAATCCCCTCCTGGGCCCTGCACTGGTGCCCGATGGAGCAGGGCTGGTGTCTGCTGAAGCCCCCCCTCCCCCCCACCCCTGCATCAGGCGTGTGTGGGTGCAACACGTGTGCAGGCCCACGCCAGCTTCCCACAGCACGGGCGCACAAAACCCAGACCTCCCAGCCCCCGTGTGCCCCCGGGCTCGGCCCACGCATGTGCCCAGCCCCCCCACGCGACACACAGAGGCTCGGCAGCGCAGGGTGGTGCATAGCGACGTGACCGGAGTTTATTGTGTGTTTTCAACCCCGCGTCCGTTCCCTCGGGATCGTTTTTATTATACAAAATATACAGAGTCCAAAACGCAAAGCAGCCGGAGAGTGGGGGCGGGTGGCACCAGCCCCACGGCCGGGGCAGCAGCGTGGGGCAGGAGAGAGGGGCAAAACAATGCACAACCCAGCACAGCCCCTGGGACCCAGCACAGGAAGACGGCGTCTGGCTCCCGCCCAGCCCGGGGCCGCCCAGGAGAGAGAGGACAGGTCTCCTCCTGCCCCCTGGCACACACTTGCAGCACCAGCCCTGGCCCCAGACAGAGCAGTGGGGAAAGAGCGGGGTCGGCTGGGCAGGCAGGGGGCTGCAGATGGGGAGTGAGGGACACCGGCAAGACCTGGGGGGTGCAGGGGGCTGCAGGCGGGGAGCAAGGGGCACCAGCAGGGAACTCTGCCGAACCTGGGGCCGGTTCCAGGACCGTGAGGAGCAGGACCCCCCCCCACGCCCCACCACCACAAGCAGGGCTCTAGGCCGTCCCTTCCCCTGCTGGAAGCAGCTCAGGACCCCGGTGGGGGCTGCAGCACCTGCCAAACCCTGGAGTGTCCGGGCACCCCCGGGAGGGCATGCAGCCCCCACTGCTCACACGCTCGGGCCACCAGGCGCCTCTCCTGTGGGACGAGGCCTCCAGCTGACGCAGGGGGAGGGGGCCCTAGCCCCTCCCAAGAAGCGGGGCAGGCTGGGGAGGGTGGTCCCCACACTGACTATGCCCCCAGGCCCTTTCAGGTGGGCAGCGGGGGGCAAGCGGGATCCGGACGGTGCTGGCAGGATCAGGCCGGGCGCTAGATGACGTTGTCAAAGAGCTGCATGGAGCGCATGATGTTCTCGTCCTGGGGGATGGGGGGCGAGTCAGGCCAGGCTAGGGGGTCAACACCCGCAAGGTGCCAGCCCTGGGCTGGGGAGGAGGCAATGGATGTGGGGGCTGCTACCTTCTGGCAGGACTCGATGAACTCCTCGATGGTCACCACCCCGTCCTTGTTCCTGTCCATCTTCTGCAAGCAAAGGGGGTGTCGGGGCCTTGGGGGTAGGGGCACAGCCCCCCAACCCCAGCTGGACCCCCCCAGGCTCTCAGGGGGGGACTGCAGGGCTGGGGGATCCCCACTCACCTGGAAGAAGCTCTCGACATGCTCATGCGGGGCCTCCTCGCGCATGGCCGGGTACGTGCACTTGCCCATCATGTCGTAGATGGACTTCATGATGTCCAGCATCTCCTGCGGGCCCCAGGGGTCAGCCACGCCGGACCCCCAGGGCCAGAGAGCATCCCCAAGGCCCTTCATGTGTGGGGGGGGAATGGGGGTAGTAGGCAAGGACCGACCCTGCAACCGGCCCACCTCCTTGGTGATGCAGCCGTCCTTGTTCAGGTCGTAGAGGTTGAAGGCCCAGCTCAGCCGGTCATCCACGCTGCCCCGCAGGATGATGGACAAGCCGGCCGCAAAGTCCTGGGGGCAGAGGGCAGGCGTCATGGGGCCACGTGCAGCTGGGACCCCCGCAACACAGGGCAGAGACCGGCGGGGCCCATACAGCCACCGTGGGGTCCAGTGCTGGGGTCAGCCCCTGCCCCCAGCCCAGGCATACATCTGGGGCTCCCCGTGCGGGTGCAGGTGGCTCCCCCTCACCCCCGCCAGGTCCCCGAGGCAAGGGCCACCCTGGGCGCAGGCTCACCTCGAAGCTGACGGAGCCGTCGTGGTCGGTGTCG